AGGGCCCCTTGGCAGTAGGGGCCCGGCCTGGGGCAGCAGGCACCGGGGAGACCCGGCGGGAGGTGGCAGCGCTCCGCAGCTTCTGTTTCCGCCGCTTGGCCAGTGGTGCGTTCTCCACGCTCTTCAGGAAGAAGCCCTCGCGTTTGCCCCGGTTGAACGCCTGGCAGAAAAGAGGAAATGACTTCCTACACACCACTGGCAGGGCCTCAACTTCCAGACCCTAGCTTTGGCTCCCTAAGGTCCCGAAAGGTCAGGCCCCGGCTAGCCAAAGGCCAGGACTCGGTTCACCTCATCTTTCTAGGCTCTGAGGACGTCGCCTCCGGGTCTCTGAGAGACCCTGCCTCTCCAGGCACTGTACGTACAGACACACACACCCCGCCCACAGGCCCTGCCCCTCACCATGAAGGTGACGTTGAGCCCTGAGCGCACAGCAGGCCCCGACGACTCCAGCACATCAGGAGTCCGGAGCGGGGGTGATGAGCGCGCGCTGCCATCCTGCAGCCACGAGCTCCCTCGCAGTCCCTCAAGCTTCAGCCGCTTGGCGGGATCCACAGTTAGGAGCCCTGGAGGCAGGACAGGAAAGTATTGGGGCGGGGTCGTGTGTGGAGGCTGCCCTTAGAGAAATCTAACAGGCCCCACTTTCCTCCCACACCGGTTCCCGCACCAGGACACCTTACCTGCCCCATCATGACCCCATGGCCTCCCCCTCCCCCATCAGGCCCTGTGACACCAGCTCCGCACCTCGGACCAGCTCCTTGGCGTCCTCAGACACGCCCTGCCAGGCCTCCCCATCGAGGGAGAAGCGCCCCTCGCGGATCTTGCACATGATCTCGGCCGCCTGGCTCTGCCCGCCCTGGCCTGACGCCCCCTGGAAGGGGACCTGCCCCGACAGCATCATGTACTGGGGGGGCAGTGAGCCGACCTCAGGCTGCAGGCCAAGGGAGGCCAGAAGGCTGAATTCTCAGCTCACCCCCAGGACCATTCAACCTCTCCTGAGGCCCAAGCGCGGTGACCCTGACCTCCAACCCCGAATACTCGGATGCCCCTACATTAGCCTCAGACCAAACCCTGCCACGCCCACCAAGATGACCCCTGTCCCTTGCCTCTGGTTCCCCTGTTGCCCCTCATCAGGAAAGCCTCTGACCCCAGGTTCTGGCGACCCTGAACCCTCCTGGGAGACTCCGCGCCATACCAGAATGACGCCGAGGCTCCAGAGGTCGCAGGACTCATCGTAGCCCTGCTGCGCTAGCAACTCAGGGGCTGCGTACTGCAGGGTGAAGCAGGGCGTCTGCATGGGCCCTGCGGGGCTCTGAGGGCGCAGCCGCGCAAACCCGAAGTCGATGATCTTCACGGGTGCTCCAGGCGTGTCGTCAGCGTACAGAATGTTCTGTGAGGGCGGGCAGGCGGCCGTCAGAGATTGGCCCTCCGCAACACAGCCCTCCCGGACCGCTGAGGCCCTGTGCCCACCTCCGGCTTGAGGTCACGGTGCACCACGCCCGCCTCCTCATGCATGAAGCTGACGGCCGACACGAGGCTGCGCAGGATCTGGCTGGCCTCAGACTCGCTGAAGTGCCGCTTCTTGCGGATGTGCTCCAGCAGCTCCCCGCCCCGCAGCAGCTCCAGGACCAGGTACGTGTGCAGCTGCGGGTGGCGCAGCCAGCCCCGGTCACCGTGATGGTATTGGCCGGGCCCCAACCATCAGCCAGGCTCCGCCCCACGGTCACTGACAAGCCCTGCCTCCAGCCTTAGGCCCTGCCCATGTTCTATGCCCTACCTCAAGATCAACCCAAGAAGCACCCTTAGGCCTCCACTGCCTTCCAGGCCCCCGCCCCTCTCCATGCCCTCCTCAAACTCCATTCCCTTGGACATCTTCAGCTCCACCTTCCTGTCCTCTGGCCTTGCTCCCCTCAAATCCCACCTTCCTGGCTTCCCAGGTCCCCTCAGGCCCCTCCCACGACACCTTCAAACTCCACCGCCTGTCTGCCTCCCCAGCCCTCCACCAGCGGCCCTTAATGCCCAACGTTCCGCCCCAGCCCAAGAAGTCATCACCTGGTCATGATGCACCTCATGCAGCTTCACCACATTGGGGTGAGACTGGCACAGACGCAGGGCGGCCACTTCGCGCTGTGTGTTCGCCTCCAGCCTGGGGCACGGGCAGGTGGGGTCAGGATGGCCGACGTCTGGCACTACCCTCCCAAACTCCTCTCTGCCAGGCCCCGCCCACCCGCCCAGGCCCACCCACCTGCGGCTGAGGATCTTGACGGCAAACTCCAGACCTCCCTGGCGCTGGCGGCAGCGGCGACACACAGAGAAGCTGCCCTGGCCCAGTGCGGGCTCCCGGAGGTCGAGCTCATACTGCTGGAAGAAGGGGGAGTCCTGGGGACAAAGGGAACACGTCAGAGGTCCTACCGGGGAGCCTTGCGGCCACACTATGCCCCACTGAGGGAGGCTCCTGACCTCACCAAGGTCACACTGTGGGCACCTGGTGGAGCCAGGTCTAGGCCAGAACCCCCAAGTCAACTTCTCCCCATCCTGGCCCAACCCACCTGCATCATGGCACTCCTGGCCACCGCTGCCCGGCCGGGCCGGTCTCCAGCACCAGGCGCTTCCAGCACATCAGTCATCACCGCATTGTTGTGGTCAAACAGGATGGAGGGTGCCACAAAAGAATATCCCTGCGGAGGGCAGGGGAGATGGGTCAGGGGCAGATGGGTGACTGGGGGCTAGAGGTGCACGTGGAGTCCCTAGAAAGCCCAGACCTGGCAAGGAGGAGAACAGGCAGAGGGAAGACCCCAGACCAGGGGGCAGTGGGGGTGTTGCCTTTGCATCCTGGTGCACATACAATGTGTGGACACTTTATTCCGCTTTGTTCTATGCTCACTTGGGACCATGTCTGTCCCCCATCAGTCTGTGACCCCTCCTTTCGCATCACAGTGACACCCCCCCCAGGTGCCAAGGGCATCACCTGGCACAATATAGTGGCCCAAAAAGTGATGGGCAAATGCATGAAAGGATTGTGCCCTAGCATCACACCTATTTTGCTTATGAGAATTCAACTGTACCCATGGAAGACCAAAAAAATCCTTATTCCTTCCTTTCAAATCAAATTTTAGCCTCCTCTGCAAGGGGGGGCTACTGAGGAAATGTAAAGAAAAACCAGAGTTGATTCCTTGCCTTTCCTAAGGATCCATGTCCTGTCAATTCAAGGGATTCTCAAGGGTAATTTTAACAATGTGTTGTTTTCTCCTAAAAATGTAGCCCCACTGTGCACTAGCATGCAAGCTGCACTGAGTGGGATTTTTGTCTGTGAGGTTTGTGCACACATCCCCAGTGCCCAGCTCCATGCCTGGCACGTTATGGGCGCTCAACACAAAGTTTTGTATCATGAAATGAATTAATGAGCGTAACCATCAATTCATAAGAAAGAACTTTCTCAGGACTATGAGACAATGGATCAAGAGATGTTCAAGCACAGAGCTGTCACTTGTGAGAGGTTCACAGAGGGGACTGATTCATTCATACTTGATATTGGCCTATTCTTATTTAATAGTTATGGACCATATCCTACAGGTCAGGCCCCCACACTGGGCATAGGAACACAGATATTACACACACAGTCTCTGCCCTCTGGGAGCTTTGGGCCAGAGGAGACAGTCTCAGTGAGGCTCTCAGGACACAACCTGACAAACTGCTCAGAAGGAGATGCTGTCTGCAGAGCGCTGGTGCATTAAGCAAAGGGCAGCCCACAGCCATAGGAGTGGGGAAGACTTCACACGGAGGCAGCCCTGGACAACGAGGCTTGAAAGATAAGAGAGCCCGCCAGGTGGGCACCTGTGGGGAGGACCCTCCAGGTGCAGGGAACTGCATGTGCAAAAGTACAGAGGTATGTTCTGAAATCTCTGAGCAGTTAGTTGCTGCTGGAGCACCGAGTGGGATAACAGAGCTGAGGGTAAGGCGCTGAACAAGGACCACACCAGGCAGGGACTTGAATGCTGAGCAACGGAGTCTGGACTTGTACAATAGGCTTAAGCTTCTGAAACAAGTGGAGGGGGTCTGTGCCGCCAGGAATATGATATGGTGTGCCAAAGGGCATGCGGGGCCATAGCATAAACATGGTATCTCTTCCTAAGGGTCCACTTACATAAGTGAATACTTTAAAACGGTATTTTACATAACAATAAGGAGACATGATGGAGTAGAAGGGAAATTAACACAAAATTTACAGATAAACCATGAAGTTCAAAGACATGTCCTGCCATGGTGGTCTCTATGACTGACAGCTCCAGGTACCCCGTGAGTGGAGAGGTCTGGGGGGAAATACTGAGTCCTGATCAGGACACAGGGCCTACGCAGTGCCCATGGGTCAGCCAGCACTGAGGCTGGTAGCAGCGTCCTGCCTCCCCCACATCTGTAGTTCTATGAGCTCTCACTCACCTGGAAGATGCGAGGGTCCCCAGATGGGGGGCTGCCAGGGGGTGAATAGACAGGCTCTAGCCGAGTAAACTCCTCTGCAAAGTTGCCCACATCCAGCTCTGAGCGGATCTGGGGTCGGAATGGAGCTGGAATCTTCCTGGCAGCCAGAGCAGCCCAATCCAGGCCCTGGAAAAAAAGGAATGAGAAATTGGGGGGGGGGGGTCAAAGGGCAGGATGTAGGAACCCCTCTCTGCTCAGGCCACCCTCACTGGGCAGCTCCTCAGTGAGGCAAGGGTCTATCTTGCATATTTGGGGGGAAGGTGGTATTCTTGCCTCCCCAGCTTCTACTTCCCTCCCTCAGATAACACAATCCCTAGTTCCCTTGGAGAATCACCCTCTATCACATTCAGTCAATTCTGGAACTTTTAATAAAATTCACTTGCGAAACAAACAAATATCTTCCTCCTACTAGACTTAAATCTTGGCGAATGTGGGCCTGTGACTGCTGGAGACTCCCTCGGGGTCTAATGATGAAGTCCCCGTGCAGAAACGCAGAACCAAGAGACAAAGAGATTCTTAATGACATAGTTCCAGCACCTGGATGCAGCCTTGCCTGAAGTCAGCAAACTTTTCCTTGGACTTTTCCCTTATGGGAGCTAAAACATGCCCCTTTATGTTTAACCTAATGTGCCAGGGCCTGATCATTGCCTACCCAACATCTACTTTCCCTGTCTTCCTTAGTTCTATTGCCCCAATTTTATTCCAGGAAGCAATGGGCACAACTAAGACAATGTTTTACAACTTCCTTATAGTTAGTGGTGACCAATAACCTGCAAGCAAATATTGTGAGGTAGGAATCCAGGAAAAGATCCTCAAGAGGAGGGCAGACAGTTAGCAAGTGCCCTTTTTGCCCTTCCTCTCCTGCTTCCTGCCTGGACATCAGCCTTGATGACAAGTGCTCCAGCAGCCATCTTGCACCATGAGGCAAGCTTGGGGATGGGGGTTAAATGCTAAGAATGGAGGAGCATTAAAAAAAATTTAAAAGTTGCTTGGATTCTTGCCCTGGCCTGTCAACCTCTGGACTTCTTTTGCGTAAGAAAACAAATAACCCTCTAACTTGTTTAGACTATTGTTTATTCCAATCTCTGTTAGCAGCCAAATGCTATTCCATGGATATCACCATTTTGAGTTAGACTGTTTGTCATTTGCAGCTAAGAAGCCTGACTAGATTTGAAGGTCCCACTTCTGCCACAGAGACCTCAGCATTGCTATCACTAAAGAGGCTGTCTCCAGAGAAGAGGAAATGAGGGGAACACCCCTTCTGAGCGTGGGGCCTCGAAGACCTTGGGGCCTCTCCAGTATGACTATTGGTCTGCCCACTCCCAGCACTCAGGGCCCAGCTTGTGCTCAGGGTGGGTTTGAGGAATTCACTTAAGGAAACCGACACTGTTCAGCCACTTCCCCCACAAAGGGACATCTTCACTGCAGGGATTTAGGTTCCTATCTGAGAAAGTAGCTCTGAGGACCCTTCTAGGCAGGTACTTGCAGGGAAGATTCAAGGAGATGGCACTGGTAATAGGGTAATTGAGTGCCTGGCCCACAATAAATGCCCGTAAGTGGGTGCTTCTGTCACAATGTCAGACAAGTGGCAAATCTGATGCCCACATGTAAACAGAACATAGCAGTGAAGAGAATGAGCCTTCGAGTCACCCAGACCAGGGTTTGAATCTGAGCTCCACCTCTTCCGGGCTGGGTGATCTTAGGCAAATTACTTAAATTCTCTGAACCTATTTCCTCATCTGTAAAGAAGGGGCTAATCAAGATGGTTCTCGGGGTTACATGAAATAATGCAAGCAAATGGCCAACACAGGTTAGGTATTCACTGTTACAGGGTCCTACTAGGCAATGACACACCAAAGTCAGTGAGATCTCACAAGGAGATAGAATTCACTGTGCACTACACTCTAACCTATGTGTGCTCTTAGCAAGCAAACAAAACCCACATGGCTGATTGACCATCCATCTGAATGACATGCACTTGGACTGTACAGGAACAAAGAACAAAATGCCTGGGTGGACATTAAGAGCCATAAGTGTGGCTTTTAGTACTGATCTGGGCTGACAGAGGACCTGGGATCTGTTCCCAGCTCTATACGTTTACTGTGTGATCTTGGGCAGGTCACCTCCCTTCTCTGAATCTGTCCAATGAAAGGACTGACAAATCCAACCTCAAGTCCCCTGCCAGCCCTGACAGTCAATGAACCTAGAATTCCTTGCCCCAGGAACACATCTTCTGAGTTTCAAGAGATGGATGAAAAGATAAGTCTGCTTTCTTTATCTGGGGGACTTTTCTTAATCAAGTGAAACTGGCCGATCTCAGACCATCCCTCTGGGTCCCCAAAACCCAGAGCAGCAGCCCAGCTTGGGTATGTGCACAAAGGTCTAGGGGTGGCACAGGAGCCTCACCTGGAAGAAGGGGTGATTCTTGACTTCCTGCGCCCCCTGGGGCCCCGCACCCAGCCGCTTCTTGGGGTCCTTGCAAAGTAACCGCCGAAGCAGGTCCTGCGCCACAGGCCCGATCCGAGAGGGGAAGGGAGGGGAGCACTTCAGGATCCGTCTGGGAGGATGGGGGGGGGGCGTCAGGGGCAGCGAGCCCCCCCTCCCTGCCCAGGCCCCTCAGTTACCCTCCGCATCCAGCCCCACTCACCGAGACACCTCTGCCTGCGTATTCCTCTCACCCTCCAGCGTGAAGGGTGAGGCCCCCGTCAGCAACTCAAAGAGCAGGATGCCCAGGCTCCACCAGTCCACGGCCTGCCAGGGCCGAGCCAAAGTGAGGGCCTGCAGCCACCCCAGCCTCACCCCACGACCACCCCTACTCCCCTGCCAACCTACCTTGCCATGCCCCGACTTGCTGCGGATGATTTCTGGGGCCATGTACTCGATAGTGCCACAAAAGGAGAAGGTTCGCTCTTTCTGGAAGGGCGACAGGACCCATTTTGGACACCCAGCAACCCCCAAGGATCAGGGGAGGACTCACTGGACTTGTGAGGGTTGGAGCAGTGAGAACTTCCTGGAGGCAGGGCCTAGGGCTATTTACCTCTGCACCTCCAAGAAACAAGCAGATCCAGGCATGGAGCAGAAGACAGGAAGGACACGGCTTGCATGGGGGTAGGCAGAGAGATTGCCTTCACTCACCTCCTCCGTCAGGAACTCCTTGCTCAGCCCAAAGTCCGTAAGGACGATGTGGCCCTCAGAGTCAAGCAGCACGTTCTCCAGCTTCAGGTCTCGGTAGATGATGCCCAGCTGGCAGGAGCAAGAGGGACAGTGAGGACCCCTCCCCTAATACCCCCGGCTCCTACAGCTCATGTGCCTGCACCAAGTCACTGCTCAGAAGGGGACCCCCTGGAGAAGGAGATCTTCAGTGCTGGAGTGGGCCTGGGGTGGGACTGAGCCATTGAACAGAAAAGGCCATTTAAGAGGCAAAAGCTAGTAAGGAGGCCCACCCCATGACAGGGGCCCAGGGGAGCAGGCCCCAAGGTCCCAGAGAGGAGAAAGCCTGTGTGAAGAGCCCCATTTCAAAAAGGCTTTGGGAGCCAAGGCATGAAGTCTCCGTTTGAGGAAGTTCTGTAAACGTGACCCCAGGAGGCAGTCCCGAGTTCCCTGTGAGAAGAAAGCACCTTCGAGGGGACATCAGGGGAGGAGACCCCACCAGGCAATGCTGAGGCCTTGCTTCCAGGAGGCCGGGGGAAGCTGCTCCAGTCCCGACCACCCATCAGGAAGAGAGAGAGACCTGAGGCTGCCATGTTTGGAGCCCCCTTATAAGGCCCAGACCTAGTGCCCATGGCAACAGGCACGTGACCAGGTCCTCACCCACCTTGTGCAGGTGTTCGAGAGCCAGCACAATCTCGCCCCCATACACGCGCACCTCAGCCTCCTTGAAGTGCTGGCGCTGGTAGAGGTGGGTGAACATCTCACCACCATTCACATAGTCTGGGACATAGAGTAGAGGTTGGAAAGCAGCCCCCATGGGTGGTGCCACCTGCCTCCATAGCCCCCAAAGTTGGCAGGTACCCGTCCTTACCCAGGATGAGGTGCAGCTTGGCATCGGTCTGAAAGGCGTAGTGCAGCGTGACCAGGAAGGGCGCCTGGCGCACCAGCTCCAACACTGAGCGCTCGGTACGCGTGTGCTCCTGCGTCTTGGCGCGCTGCACCAGCGCAGCCTTGCGCAGCACCTTCATGGCATAGAGCTTCCCCGCGTCGTGCCCACCCGCCTTCCGTACTAGGAACACCTTCCCGTAGGCTGTGGGAACAGCGAGTGGGCAGAGGATAGGCAGTGAGCAGGAGGGTGATGCAGACTGGTGAGGGTAGGAGTGATGCCAACCCAGCAGGGTGTGCAACTGGGGGAAGGAGCTGTGGTGAGAGGCAGGTGTGCAAAAAGCTGGCAGAGCCTTCTAAGGGAAAGGTGTGCACAGCACTGCGAGGGTGCTCAGCAAAGGCAGGGAGGGGTGTGCAAACCAGCTAAGGACCATGCAACTCCAGGAGGCCTGCAGGGCAAGGTGGGGGCGCAAACCTGGGGAAGATCAGACAGATTCGAGGAGATGCAAATCCAAGCAAGGGAGGCAAAGGTACATGCAGACTTGGAAGGGATGTGCAAACCCACTGGGGAGTTTGCAAAGCCGGGGAGAGGACTCTAATATCAGCGCAAGGAGAGGAGCTGTGCAAATCACTTGGGAGGGCTACAAGCCCCCAAGGGTGCTGGCAAATCCGGGAGGCCCTTGCAGAGAGGAACAGCCCTGGGAGTGTACATGCAAACTCTGGCAGGGCAGGCAAGGCGGGCTGTGCCAGGAAAGGGTGGGGGGCATTGCTGGTGGCCTGGCCCAGGCCCAGGCGGGTGTGCCGGTAGGAGGCCCAGGGCACCGTGCCTGTGACATCTGCCTGGTGGGTGGGGGTCCTCACCTCCCGTGCCCAGCACCTTGAGCAGCTCGAAGTTCTCCACGCTCACCTTCTCCTTGTGCCCAGTCAGGTTGGCTGTGGGCACAGGGGGCGAATGAGCCCAGCCAGTGCCTGACCCCTCCCTGCGGCCCAGGCAGCCATCACCAGGTCCCACAGCCCCTGGCCGCCCCTGCCCCACCTTCCGTGATCCGCAGCTCCACAGCACAGCCCTCGTCCTCGTCCTCGTCCCCCATGGCGGGCGGGTCGCTGGGGCCCGCACAGCTCGGCTCCGGGCGGCGCCGGTTACATGGCGGCTCCGGCCGGGGCGGGCGCTTCCTGGTGCCGCCTCCCGGCCGAGTTGGGCGCCGGCACCGCCTCCCATCTCCCCGCCCCAAGCGGCCTGAGTCAGGCGCAGGAACGTGACAGCTCTGGGCTGCGGGTGGGCGGGCAGGGGCGGCCAGTCTTATGCGGGCGCACAGGGAGGGCGTCAGGGCTGTGCGCTCCTGGACCGCATGCGACCCTCCTAGTGACCTCGAAACAACCCCTTGGGAGACATGCCTGGGATCTGTGGATAACCTGGAGCTCCAATTGGGCAAATACTCCCAAGCCAGGTGTCTGTCCTGGAATGCCTGCTGAAGCCAGGGGTGCTGAGACCCTGGAGCCTGTGCGGCAGCGGAGTCTACGCGGCACTTCAGAGCTTTCCCCTCCGGGATGCCAGCCCTAATGGCAGCCCAACAGCTCTAATTCTTAGCCACCAGCGACAGTGAGAAATTTCATAAAATTCACAACCCACCACCTCATTTTTGATCAGGACTTGAAGTCAGCAAATAGAGATGGGATCTGTAGGTCCCCTTGACAGATGAGCAGCCTGAAGTCACACAGCTGTCTTTATCCAGCTGCTGCCAGCATAGGGCTGGCCCAGCACCTCTCACTCAGTGTGGCCCACTGCTCTTCACGTTGGGCAGCTGTAAAGGAGGTGTTTGGGACGCGGAAGCCACCCAAGCCAGCTCAGCTCCCTGTCCGCACCCCAGTGGCCAGCTGAGACCCTCTCCCCTGTGGGCTTGCCTTTGCAGGGGAGGGTCCTCGGTTGCCCTAAGGACCAAAGCCCTGCTTCTGGGCTTCCCCTACCCAGGGAGCACCTACAGGGAACACTGAGAGGGTGGTGGAGCCAAGCCCCACCCCATGACTGGGAGGGGAGACCGAACCTCTTTAGACAGACCTGTAAAACACCTCAGACCCCAGCCATCCTTCACATCCCACCCAGTACCACACACCCTCCCGTGGTTCTGCCCTGTTGTCCCAGGCCTGGCACGGTGCCCATGCAGAGCCCAGAGTAGGCCTCAAAGAAGGGTGGCAGAGCCTCACAGGGATGGCCTCCTCTTTCCATCAAGCCTGGAGCCCTGACTGGCCTGTCCTCCAGAGCCTCGTCCCCCTCCCTGACAACTGATAGGGGCTACAGGAGGGTAGGGCAGCCAACAAAGCCCTCACCCTGAGGCCTATGGAAGGGGGCTTCCAGCTGGAGGCCTGGGGTTCCACTCCCACCCCATCAGCCTCTGAAGCTGGGGCTGAGAGGAGGCAGGCAGAGCCTGTGGGTTATCCCTAAGGGGGCTGTGGAAACCCCATGAGTCAGGCTGCTGCTACAGGTCTGGCCACCCCTCCCAGCTCTGCCCACCCCCAGATTCAGGCTGCCTCACCTCAGCCGGGGCAGCCCCTCCCTACCTTGGGTGGCCAGTCTCTTGACTCACTTCCTGCCACCCAGTCTAATTGCCCCCTTCCTGGGTGTCATCCTAGAAGCCCTGGTCAGAGACCCCCATGTCCCTCCCACTTCTTGTATCCCTCCATGACAGCCCGGGCACTAGGTGACACCCACCAGGCTGTGAGCTCCCTGGGGAGGGGCTCAACCCCAAAGGGGTGAGGAAGAAATGATGAGAAGCTAGGAAGGAGTGAAAGGAGAGAAGAGGGTGCCAGAGGGGGGAGAGCTGGGCCTCTGGGGTTCACTGCCCACACCCCAGAGCCCAGAGCCCACCTTCTAAGCCAAGGCTGAGCCCAGACTCAGGCTCCACCCACTGCTGGCTACCCATAACCCCCCACCCCTCTGGGACATCCAGGCAAGCCAGACTTGCCCCTCCCCTGAAGAAAGTCCTCTGCTGCCCTGTGCCAGGTGAGGAAGCCAGTGGCCACAGACCCCACTGGCAGAGGACTCCAGGCCACAGGTGTCCCTGGTGCCTCATGGCTCTGAATGCAGCTGGTACACACAGAGCGCAGATTCAGGTGATTGTAGCCCGGCTTTATTTTCAGGTTTCTCATGTTCCAGCTAAGGCTCAGAAATAGGCCCAGGCCAATGTCCCCAGGGAATGATCATTGGCTCCCCGCCTGGACCAGGCGGGGGCTCTCTTGTCCACTCCTACCTGCCTTCTTCATCTGGGGGGTCCCCCAGAAACCGCCTCCTCAGCGAGGGCCGCATGGCAGAGCCAGAGCCCTGGCAAGCAGCTGCTCCTGGGGACCAACCATCCCCCCTGCCCATAAGCTTGTCCCTGCTCCATCTCATGGTCCCAGTGCCAGCTGTGGAGGACCTGGAGGCCCAAGCCTCCTTGTCCAACGACTTGCCCCAGGGGCCCTGGCTCCCAGAATTCTTGGGCTGCCTGGGCCCCCCACTGAGACTCCAGCGGCGAGGGGCCTGCATTCCAAAGCTCCCTGTGCACACGGTGTCACTGGCTGAGGGAAGAGGCGAGAGGACGTTTCTCCGGTTCCTGCACCTCGAGGCCTAGAAGGAAAGGCTCAGCTCAGGCCTGCTCCCAGCAGTGCTGGGACTCCCAGCATTGGTGGTGGCCCACAGAGCCCTACACCTTCTGCCCACCCTCGGCCCCTCTAACCTCTTAGCTCTCCCCACCTCACCCCAGCTGCACTGGCCGCCTGGCTGGGCCTCCAACTTGCCAGGCTTTTGCCTCAGCTGCTCCCTCTACCTGCACTGCCATTCCCCAGATATGCCAACACGACAAACTCACCTCGCAATCTTTGCTCCAACTTCAGCGCCCCTCCGAGGCCTACTTTAAGCGCCCTGATTAAAACTACAACCCGCCCACCCAGAGCTCCTGACCTCCCTCTTCCTGCTCTCCTTTTTCCCCAAAACATTATCACCTCCCAATATTCTAGGGCTCAGCTGCCCAGTACGTGACTGCGCACATGAGATGTGGGTGCTCTGAACCGTAATGTGCTTGAATGTAAAATACCACTAGACTTGAAAGACTTAGTATGAAAAAAAATAACGTAAACTATCTCACTAATGATTTTTTACACTGACTACATATTGACATGGTAATAGTTCAGGCCTACTGAGTTATATAAAATATGTTATTAAAATTAATTTTACCTGTCTCTTTTTACTTTTTCTGATGAGGCCACTAGAAAATTTTAAATTATACACGTAGCTCACATCTTATTTCCATTGGACAGGGCTATTATAGTTATTATAGATGATTGTTATTTTTATGCATATTGTTTACTGTCTGCCTCCCACACCAGAATGTTCCCTGCTGTGTATCCCCTGCTAGCACATCGCCTGGCACTTTGTAAAGGCTCATTGTCAAATGAGTGAATGGATGCATGAGGGCTGCCAGGACCCCACGCAGGGCAAATACCCCACTCACCTTCTCGGCTGGTATCCGCTTCATGTTCCGCCAGGGTCTCGACGGAGCCATCCCATCCCACGCCAGATCCTAGGGGGCCACAAGGCAGCTGCTGGGCCACAGGGACCAGGACAGAGGCAGGCAGGGCTTGTGGGGAGACACGGGGGACAGAAGGGAAGCCCGTTCCCCCAAGGAGTTGGCAGGTCCACAGCAAATTGGGGGCCAGTAGAGGCAGGGACCCTTGTCCCTCACCTTTGCCTTGGGAACTGAGTGACCCCAGGGGGCCTGGACGGCGCTGTCGGAATCGCTGCCGGGGGGTGTCCCCGGGGCTGAATGACTCAGAGCTTCGCCCCACTGGGAATCGGGAGCTGAGTTTCCGCCGCTGCCCACCTGCCAGGGTCTCATCCCGCAGGCAGAGGGAACTCTGGGCCCGGCGCATAGGTGCCGGTGAGGGGGACCCTGCAAGAGGCATAGGCATTGGGGGGTGTCAGAGCAGTACAGGAAGGAGCAGGGCAGAGTGGAGGGATAGCAGGATGAAACAGAGGCAGGGAAAGGAGGCTGCAGAGGCTGGGGAGAGTCTGGGTGAATGAGGGTGGCAACAGAAGACTGGACCTTGTGCTGGCTCTGACACTAACTCACTGTGTGACCTTGGGCAAGGCGCTTCCCCTCCCTGGGCCTCGATTTCCTCATCTGCTGACTGGAATAAATGACCTCTCGCTAAAGTCCCCTGCTTCTCCGAGGTCCTAGGCACTGCTGTGGATGGGTAGGACTGGCTAGGTGGCAGCACAGGCAGAAGGAAGGTGCCAGACGAAAGGGATGCGGCAGGGACGCAGAGCAAAGCGCCACTGGAACCATCTGGGGGAATGGGGTGCAGCAAGGAAGGCCAGCAGGGGCAGGGGCACGTGTGTAAGCCATGCAGGAGGCAAGGGGCCAGAGGCATCGGCAGGTGCCAGGGTGGGGGCAGAGGACACGCGGTAGGGGCCATGCCCAGACCCACCTGTCCCATCCGCCTCCCTGCCCTCGGGGAGCTCCATCTCTGGGGGGGGCCCCAGGCTCTCGATGCTGCCAGCCCCATCGGCCCACAGGCGCGGCCCCCCGTGGAGGCCCCCCTCCCGCCGGGGCCGCATCAGCCTCTTCACCTTGTCTGCCAGCCAGCTGCCCTTCCTGGGGGCACAAGGGTGGGTAAGGCCAGGGAGAAAGGAGGGACAAGAGGCCATGTCAGGGATGCAAAGGCTGGGCCAACCCTCACTGATCCTGGACCTGAGCTGGGCCGGGGCCAGAGGGCAGACAGGGGCCAGGTCGGGAGGACCCCGGCCCAGAGGTAGAGGGGTCCGCTCACTTGATCCGGGGCAGGGGCCCAGGCTCCAGTACACGGTACTGGTCCATGATCTTCTCTACCAGTTTCTGTTTCTCCCGGCGCAGGGCATTGAGCTGGTCCCTGAGGAGATGGGAGGGAAGAGGCAGCATGAGGCCCTGGCAGGAGCAAGGCTCCGGTTCTAACAGGTATAGCCCTCCTGGGTGGTAGCACACTGACACACTCCTATGGGGGTAATACACTGCCACTGCACCAACCCTCTAGGATTAGCCCCAGCCCTTTACCCAGGACCTCCCCAGGCATCTCGCCCTGAACCACCAAAGGGATCTCTAGGACCCGCTCCAGCTCCCTGCAGCATGCT